GGGGGGGGGGGGGGGGGGGGGGGGTAACTGTGGCATCTGCGCACTGGATGAAGCCGGACACTGGAGGAAAGGTGACTTTATCACGTTAAGCCTCCGGCTGATGTGGTAATTACAGCTGAGATGCACAGATGTGGCGTAAAAGACCATAAATATCCGAGCTGAAAGCTGAAAAGTAACGAGCACGACCACACCTCGAGGAGAAAATATGAAACATCTGAGGAGCCGCGCGCGACACCCTCATTCAATCATACCTTTATTAGAATTAGAATTAATTCATACAAGCGTATCTAATTATTATAATACCGTTTTAAACCGCTTGTTTATATCAACCTCGTCACTTCAAAGCCTCTATATGTAAAAATCAAATCAATACAGCCCCCCCGTGGTAAGCCTCGCCGAGGTTAGCCAGCTCCACTGAAATATGACGCGTTAAAACAATATATAGATATTTAGGTTGCCAGTCAGAATCCGATAAAAGCGATTCAATGTCTTACCTTTAGGTTCCGCTTTGGGAAGAGTCCGCAGCGCGCGGAGAACCGGGGTAAAGCTTGTTATTCTCGGCTCTTCCTCTGTCCAGATAAAGGTGTGTGTAGCTCACCCGCATATGCGGCTTTTATCATCGCATTGCTCCCTTCGGTCTGCGCGAAGCCGCTCACTCCTCCTCGGTGACAGAGGAGCACTTCGAGGGCAAGACGGCGGCTTCGGCGAGCGAAGGACCACTTCCGGGCGACGGCCCAACCACCTAACAGCAAACGGTTTAAGTCGCGGAATGAGTCCTATCAAGCGCCGAGAACGAGCCGCAGACCCGCCCCGGGAACAACGACTGCAGCTTTCCGCCCTAAAATGGGCAGAAAATGGCCGCAGTGACGAATCGCTTTAGCAGCTGCGCTGACGTTTTCACTTCTAACCAATGAGAACGGGCGGAAGGTGGGGCCAATTGTGAGTGACACATAAAAGATCCAATGAGAGCGTAGTAGCAGGTGCCGTGTAGGGAGGTCTGGGCGGCCTTTGGCTGTGTCCAAAACGACAGGACGGGTCCTCCGGAGGACCCAGACTCCCCGGTCTCGGCGGGCCGGGTCCTTGGTAGACCGGGAAGACCGGAAAAAAAGAGGATGTGGATTTGGACGGTCTAGCCTCCCCT